ACAATCTACGCTACAACATTCACTACTATATATATCAATTCAAGAGGAGAACATAGGAACATACATGGTACCTAAAAATGTACAATGCTATCAGTGGCGGAGCCACATATAGACCAGGAAGGGCCATGGCCCCCCTTGGCCTTTTGAAAAATTTTTAAGTAGCACCCCATACTTTTAAAAAATATAAATAGGACCTTAAGATTTTAAATATAAAATAAGAATTTATTAATTATTTGAGAAATTATTAGATTATATCTCTTGGTTTTGCTTTTAATTTCAGTTAAATTTGGCTTTAATGGTTAACATAGTATCTCTACAAAAAGTTTTTAAAATTACTTTGTATTATTATGTTTCACCTTTCATTTTTCTTTGATAATGTTTAAGGAAAAGATAAAATTTTCTTTATTTTGTACATATAGTTGGTTATAGTTGAATGGTAAGTTTTGTTTTTTAGTGTAGAAGACCACTACTTATAAATAATGTAAAATTTTAATTTCTATAATATTTCTGATTATTATTATAATTTTAATTGGTTATTAAAGAATTGTATCATGTAAGCTGTTTTATCTCCTAACTAAGGATTACACCCTGCCAATGACTAGAATTAATTTAGGTACAAATACAATAATTAATTTCATTGAAAATTATCTAATAGCATGGGATCATAAACTCTAATAATATCTTCATAATACAAATAACTAGAATTTGATACGTTAATTATTTAAAATATCTTCACTAATAAAAATTTGACTGAATTGGTATCTAGTACACACTAAGTTATCAATCTTGATTTACAATAGTATAAACCTTTGTAATATGCGATTAATCTTTAATGTGCCAAAAAAAAAAATCTTTAAAACATCTTAGTTTTATTGGTTAATTTATATTAATATTTTGTAATAATGATTTTGTTTGAAACTAAAATTTATGAATAATCACATAAATATTAGGTAATTTTTTTAAACTTAAGGCATGTGATTTTAGTTTTTATAATAAAAGTCTTAATCCCTTTTTGTATGTTATAACTCTAACAAAATCCATCTTCTTCAATGTTTTTAAGTTAAATATGCAATTTGATATTTTAATTTTCTTCTTTTATAATTTTGCAATTAACCCCCCCTAAGATAAATTCCTAGCTCCGTCGTTGTCCAGGGAGCAAGCTTAACATGGAAACGCTCTAATACTGGCTCCCAAAATTTATTCCTCCCTGCATTTCCTCCAATAGGCAAGCCAAGACAAGATAATTAAAAGGCAACTTTCCCACTCCACATCTCAAAATATCAGCCCTCCCTTTAACTATTCATCTAAAACATTAAATCCATACATATAACTCACAAAAATTAATTTTTAACCCAGAAATCAATTCAAACCAATGCAAGATCGACTTCACAACTCTTAAATTCTCTATTGTATATATCATTCAAGAGGAGAGCATGGATACATGGTAGCTAAAAGTGTAAAATGCTATGAAGCCATAACAAAAAATCAAATTAAAAAATAACTTCATATATACATACTCTGGAAGAGATGGATGAGATGAGTTTCTCTTTTTCTATCAGCAGATGATCGAGATGAGCTTACTCGTGAGTAGTCTAAACTATATATATATGCTACTTTGGCTTCAACTCTTTCCGTGGATGGAAAAACAACAGACGGTTTCGTGGTTTTAATTCACCTATTTTTTATTTCCAATATTGTCCACACAATGTCGTATATTTTTCCTTTCGTAACAACGTGGCGGTCTGCTGTTCTTCACAAGGTTATTTTTGCTTTTTTGGGCCTTTGGGTCATTCGGTTCAATTCGATGACCTAGTCCTTTATTAATTTTTTTTTTTTTGGACAGGTAAATGATTAGGAAGTTAGTAGAGTTAGTTTGTTAGCAGTTGAAATTTTTCAAGATGGTGAACGTTCCACCCCTCATATGAGGCGCGCGACCATTAAATTGCAAATTGGTTGAGTTCACGGCGGTGGCAGGGCTCGAAGCCCTGACCTCCGCCTCACCTAAACCCTAAAGCTTGGGGACCAACCATTGGGCTTCAGGCCCGGTTGGTTCTTTATTAATAAATTAAAAAAAAAGGAAAAAGATTGAAGAAAATGTTATCCTTTCCAATCTTTTCGACTAAAAAATTGACATGGAAAGACTCGAGTAAATTAAATGAAGGCAAAACGAAAATCTCTTTTAGGATACTTGTTAGTGTAAATTTTAATTGTGTTAAAAATTCTCTCTCGTTTTATTATTTATCTTTTTATTTTATTGTAATTTAAATTTAAAATTTTATTTTTTATTTAAAAAATAAATTATTATTAAATTATTTAAATGTTGATCAAATTTACAGTTAAAAATAAATTAATATCTCTTAATTAATTTCAAATTAAATCATATTAAATTTTATTATTTTTTTATTTACAAAATTTATATTTAAAATTTTATTTTAAAAAAATTAAATTTTTTTACATTTCAACCAATAAATTATTAACCCTTTTAGCACAGGGCAACTGTATATGCGGTCCCACTTGAAAGTGCCCAGACGTCAGGCTCTTGTCTTTCTTCTAAATAATAATACTACTTCGGTAAAGCTTGGTGAAGCTTACTGCAATAAAGTGCACTGCGTGCTAGTGCGCCGCCTAACCCGATAATGATTGGGTAAATGTCCCTC